GCGCAGGTTAAAGTGCCTGAAGAAGAAAACACACGTGTGTGTGTGTGTGTGTGTGTGTGTGTGTGTGTGTGTGTGTGTGTAAAACAACAGGAGCTGTGACAGACACACACACACCACTGAAAACAGCATGTGTGTACACAGATTATCTAAAGTGCACAAACTCTGAATACAAAACACTGTAAGACAAAACACCACAGAAATAACGATGTGTGTGTGTGTGTGTGTGTGTGTGTGTGTGTGTGTGCGCGCACACATGCACCGTACTGTATACTGATGATCAAATATAGCTTCTTCCCTATAAATCTGTAAGTAACCCAGCTCCTGTTCATCTGACCCAGCTTCTGTCCCGCTACAGCCCGAGCCGCTCTTCAGGACCTCTACACTCAGGGCTTGTGAATAGCAGAGTCCACTAAAGGAGGTCGAGCCTGCTCATTTATGGCTCCTGAACTCTGCAATAGTCTTCCTGATAATGTGCGAGGCTCAGACACAAACATCAACACTAGATTAGACTCATATCTTTAGTAATGCACACACACACACTGCAGCACATAATGGTAGGACGTGTGGGTGTGTGTGCTCCACGCAGGTGAGCTGCTGACGTGATTGGCTAATTAGAAAATTGCGTTAACAAGCAGTTAGACAGGTGTACCTAATAAAGTGGCCGGTAAGAGTATGTGTGTGTGTGTCTGACCTGCCGTGAGCATGGAACTTCAGCTGCAGCGTGCGCTAGGGGTGTGTGTTTATTGTGTGTGTTTAGTGTGTGTGTGTGTGTGTGTGTCTGACCTGCCGTGCGCGTGGAACTCCAGCTGCAGCGTGCGCTCGGTGTGTGTGGCTGCGCGTTTGGCCCTCTGGTGGTCGCTGTGCAGCATCTCCGTGTCGTAAGAAAGACCCTCGTAGTGCCGGATGTACTTGTTCAGGGGGTTTCCATAGTAACCTGTTCACCACACAAACATCCCATCAGAGAGCTGTGATTGGTCCACAGGTGATCACATGACCATCATTCACTTCAGCACAGAGAACACACACAATCTGCTGTTTCAGAGATGCTCAACACTGCTGCGCGACACTGTAACACTCGTGTGTGTGTGTGTGTGTAAACATGAGCACCTGCAGGCCTCAGAGATATGCACACACACAGGATAATAACAGCACTGCTTGATGAATATGAAACACACACACACACACACAGATGAACAGAGTGTGTGTGTAATGCTCTATATAGAGGCTTTATTAATGACGGCAGGTTGAAGACGTCTCTCATGTGGAGAGTGAGGAGAGCCTCATGCACTGTCAGCCGTGCACATCCTGATGCTTCTGTGGGTCTCGTCTGTCAGATCTGAGCTGTATTCTGTATTCTCTATTGGGTTCGGGTCAGGTGAATGGCTGGGCCATTCTACAGCTTGGTTTTCTTTCTCTGAAAGCGTCTGAGAGTCTCCTCGGCTGTGTTTGGATCATGGTCCTGCTGAAATGTCTTGATCTTCATCCTGCTGCTGGTGTAGATGTTGGACTGAAGCTGCTGATCTTCATGTACACTGAGGAAGGGCAGAGACTTGCTGAAGAACCACTGACAGATTTCAGCCGCTGTCTGGGCTGTCACTGCAGAACTACACCCCCCTTTCTTCATGTGTTCAGTACAGTTTCACTTCACTACACACTCCTTCATTTGTGAACTCATTAGGTTTGTTTTCTTTGTATATCTGGATGTATTTGGTTGCTTTCAGCATCTGGGAACATTTTAAGTGAACGGCACCTTCAGAAATAAATATGTTTTCTGAGAACACATGAGTGACGAGTTCAATACTTACTTCCCCCGCTGGAGATATATATGAAGAGTTCAGATGCACAGATTTCTTTAAATGAGCATTTATTGTCACTCCTGTATGTGTGTGTGTGTGTGTGTTCAGGAAATACACTTTTATGGCAAAAATAGGTTCATGTCATTGTGTTTAGAGTGAAACAGCTCCACAGAAATATTAAAGGATGACAAAAATGCTCATTTAGAACGTCTTATGTTTATATATATATATATACAGTTGAAGTCAGAATTATTAGCCCCCCCCCCCCCCCCAATTTGCATAACATATAATCATAACAGTGTTCATAACTCATCTCTAATAACTGATTTATTTTCTCTTCATCATGATGACAGTAAATAATATTAGACTATTCTAAGACACTAGTGTTCAGCTTACAGTGACATGTAAAGGCTTCACTAGGGTAATTAGGGTAAAGTTAGGGTAATTAGGCAAGTGATTGTATAATGATGGTTTGTTCTGGAGAATATCGAAAAAATATTTAGCTTAAAGGGGCGAATAATATTGACCTTAAAATGCTGTTTAATACAATTAAAAACTGCTTTTATTCTAGTCGAAATAAAACAAATCAGACTTTCTCCAGAAGAACAGATATTATCAGACACACTGTGAACATTTCCTCAATCTGTTCAACATCATCTGGGAAATATTAAAACAAGAGAAAAAAATTAAAGGGGGGCGAATAATTCTGACTTCAATATATATAGATATATTGTATATATATAGAGGTCATTTTGGTTTTTATGGGTTTTTGTAAGTAAATCATTCTGTTGTAATGTAAATGTGTAATTGTTAAATATTTATTAAATAAAATTCAATTATTACTGCAGTCATTATTACTTTTACTACTATTAATAATAATGAATATTGGAGTGATTTTTCACACACACACACTCACACACACACACACACACACACACACACACAAACACACGCACACACGCACACACGCACACACACACACACAAACACACGCACACGCACACACGCACACACGCACACACACACACACACACACACACACACACACACAGCTGAGCATGAGTTCTCCCCCTCACAGATCTCTTTTGCAGGAATGTTTTCTACAGGAAGCTTTACAGTATTATATTTGTGCAAATATTAGTACAACCAAAATCATATGATATGGAAGAATATTCAATTCTATACTTTTATATAAAAAATGTATTAAATAAATAAATAAACAAAATATATAAATATAAAAATATACATGCAGCTGAAGTCAGAATTATTCACCCCCTTTGAATTGTTTTTTCTCTGTTAAATATTTCCCGAATGATGTTGAACAGATTGAGGAAATGTTCACAGTGTGTCTGATAATGTTTGCTCTTCTGGAGAAAGTCTGATTTGTTTTATTTGGGCTAGAATAAAAGCAGTTTTAATTGTTTAAACACCATTTAAAGGTAAATATTATTAGCCGCTTTAAGCTATATATTTTTTTACCGATAGTCTCCAGAACAAACCATCATTATACAATGACTTGCCTAATTACCCTAACCTGCCTAGATACCCTAATTACCCTAGAGAAGCCTTTACATGTCACTTTAAGCTGTATAGAAGTGTCTTGAAGAATAATAATAATAAAGAAAAAATCAGTTATTAGAGATGAGTTATCAACACTTATGTACAGAAATGTGTTGGAAAAATTCAATATAATTGGGGAAAAAAACAAACAAGGGGACAAATAATACTGAGTTCAACTGTATATACACACACACACACACACACACACATATATATATATATAATTGCAATATTTAGCTTGAATTTATATGAATAATCTTTCTAAAGATGTTCAGTGACTAAAACATTAATTTAATAAATAAACAGGTTTAATAATCTGCTTTGTTCAAATGCAGCCAAACATAAGAGCAATATTCACTGAGAAATAGACGACAAAATTCATTTAAAATGGGCTGAGCTCAACTATGCAGAGCAGCACTGACTATAATCAACAGAAACATAAGAGCTATATTCACTGAGAAATAGACGACAAAATTCATTTAAAATGGGCTGAGCTCAACTATGCAGAGCAGCACTGACTATAATCAACAGCACAGAACAAAACACTATAAAACAATGAAAAACAATGACTCAAATCTAAATATAATATAGAGCGACACATACATCATGCACATTACTTCAGATCACATTTAAAAGGGAAGAATTTAAAATAAAAACAGAAATAAAAACCAAAATAACATGAAGAAAACACCAACAATACAACAATACAGTAACAGAAATCAAATCTGCATCAGTTATATAATAATAATGTACATCAGCTCAGAATAACCCACAACACCGCACAGCAAGTGAACAACAGCAGCAAATGCTCCACTGTTTACAGGTTAGCACATTTGATGATGAAGATGATGATGAAGATGAGGGATCAATATAATGAAGAATAACCGATCATCTACTGATGAGAATAACAACACTGATGCTCATCACACTGCAATATTCAGCCTGAGGAGCACAGATGACCACTGAGGAGGATGAGGAGGAGGATGAGGAGCAGTGTTTACAGCTGATGTTGATGCTAAATCACGGTGATCATCATCCATCTTAAGCTGTGTGTGTGTGTGTGTGTGTGTGTGTGTGTGAGAACGAGAGAGAGATCCTATATGAGCCCCTGACCGTCGCATCCTCGCGCGAATGTACAGGTTTTGATCCCGGAGCACCGAATAACGGATCTCGGTGTCGGTGACCGAGCGGCCCCCGGATGTGCGGGAATGTCGGTAAACGGCCGAGAGCTAGCGTTACCGTTAGCTCGGCTCCACACCGGCTCACACTCACCTCGAGCGGGCCCGGAGGCGCAGAGGAGGCCCAGCAGCACCGGGAGCACCGGGAACACCGACATCACGGACAGCCGCATGTTTCGCTCATGGATGATGGACGGGCTGGGTTTTATTGTTTACAGCTTCAGCCTCGGGTTTGGGTCTTTGCGCGGTGACGTCAGACGCACACGGAGACAGACGCCCCTCCCCCACGCGGCGCAGGCTCACGGAGCGGAGGAGGAGGCTAGTGTGAAGAATGTACCGCGGCCTTTATTAGCCAGGCTCTATTCACATATACACAACATGCCAGAATTTACACGATTTGATATGTTATAACAGAAATACACTGCAGGGCTGATTCAGATTGAGGTGGGGGGGGGGGCGGGGGGGG